CTGCATTTCGCGCACTCGACACGCACGATCTCCGCAGAGGGTTGCGCGCACTCGACACGCACGATCTCCGCAGAGGGTTGCGCGCGGACCGGACAAATCGCACTCTCGCCTGCATTTCGCGCACTCGACACGCACGATCTCCGCAGAGGGTTGCGCGCACAGCCAGCAAATCGCACTCTCGCCTGCATTTCGCGCACTCGACACACACGATCTCCGCAGAGGGTTGCGCGCACACCCGGCAAATCGCACTCTCGCCTGCATTTCGCGCACTCGACACGCACGATCTCCGCAGAGGGTTGCACTTTCGGTTGACGCTGTTCGTCCCGCCATCCGCCTTGAAAAGAGAATTTATAAAGTGGGGAAATGTTTTTTCATTAGGACATCTCCCGTGCTAGTTTGCCAATACTCACACTTGCCTACTCATTGCATGCTTGCATGCTCATTGTTGCATGCTTGCATTTTCCAATACTCTTACTTGCCTACTCATTGCATGCTTGCATGCTCATTGTTGCATGCTTGCATGCTCATTGTTGCATGCTTGCATGCTCATTGCACGCTTGCGTACCCATACTTACACTGCGTGCTTGCCGAGTGTCCGTGTGTATGTGTAAGTGTCAGTGTCGAAGTGTCCGTGTATGTAGTGCGAATGTGGTGGAAGTGTCAGTGTGCAAGCGTAAGTGTCGAAGTGTCAGTGTTCAAGGGATTTTCCGGAAGAACCCTTCGCAATGCTTTCGGGAAAAAGTGATTTTTCTGGGCACCAGTTTGGGGTCCAAAAACCACAGCAAAAACCGGTCTCGCCACAGAGGGCCTCCCCAGTTCAAGAATATGTGCGGACATACATGTTTGCAGGGCATGGCGAACAATTGCTCGCGGCGCTGTAAAACCATGGAAACCCAGCGGTATGCAAAACCTCTGTCGCGTACCCGCGGAAACAATCGAAACTTGCACTATTTTTCGCCCGGCGGCAAAATTTTGCCGACAAAACGACCCCCGTTTTGGGGTCCAAAAACGGACCCAAAACGGGGGCCAAGTCGCCCGGACACAAGCAAATCAAATTGAGACTGAGTGAATGGACTCCATTTTGGGGTCCGTTTTTGGACCCCAAAACGGGGCCGTTTTGTCGGCAAAATTGTTGTCACCGAGCGAAAAAAAAAACACAAGTTTCGATTGCTTCTTCATGTACGCGACAAAAGTGTCCCATACCGCTGGGTTTCCATGGTTCTGCAGCGCCGCGAGTACTTGTTCTCCACACCCTGCGAACATTTATGTCCACACATGTTCTTGAACTGTATATATATATATTGTGTTTATATATATATATATAAGCACACTCTGCAAACGGGCAAAACAAGTCTCGACACATAATTAGACCCTGCGGTTGAACTGAGTTTTTATCCGCAGCCCGCTTGCGTGTTGACAAAGCACTCGCTTTTTTGGTGGCCACATCTACTACTTGGTGTAAGTGTGGACTACAACTTTCGAGAGTATCCTGCCTTTCCATTCTGATGAGAGAAACTCCAAAATTGCTGCTGGCCTATTAATCCGAGAAATCGTATCCCATGGAAATTGATAGAAATTTGAAAACCCCAGGGAAGATATCTAGCCAAAGATGGCAACTTCTGAATGCAATATTCAGTGAACGCTTAAACAACGTTAACTCTGACGTAGCTCACACAAGAAGCCCTTTACGCATGTCGCCAAGATAGGTCCAAAATTGCAAAACTTGCAATAGGCCGCAAGCCTTCTACAAGCAGCCTATGCAGTCCAACACCCCTCAACAAAACGAACACGCTCTACGCTCGGTTCATGTTTAAGGTGATGCTGCGACCATTGGCCCAAGCTGAGATCTGTGGTCATAAAAGCTGGGGGTGTGCACGGTGTAGGATTTCTCCAGGTCAAGAATGTAGAAGATGATCTGGTCCTTCCACGTAAAAAGGGAGTTTCTTGCGGCATTGACTGAATTCAATGATTGGGTAAGACGATGCCCAAAAGGCTGACTGATCAACAGCACATGATCTTTTCAGTCATCCAAGCTTGTTGGAATGGAACTCAGCCGGACTGCATTTGTCAGCCAATCGCCTTGTGAGATGATGTAGTAAGGAAAATTTGAAGATTGCTGTTGGTACCATTTGCACATGCTCGAAAAAGGAACAAAGTAATTGATCGGTGTTGAAATCACCGCCCGCAAATCCTCCATGTTGCAAAATGCGTTGGAGCCGTAAAGACCTGCCTCGGCAACCAGTTGCTAACAGTGGTGGTGACTCTGGATTGAACGGACACAGCAAGCAGAATCTCGAAAATGCTGTAATACACGTCCTCATGTTATGCATTGCCGTCTTCCCGCGCGCCCACCTGCATGCATTGGCAAAGGTCCATGTATGAAAAGCGATCAGCGGCAGGCTTTGCACGAAGTCCTATGTACAACCTTGGTTGCGGCAGATCTTTGCGGTATTGACCCGCAGCACAGCTCACGCGCTCATCAATTCAGCCTTTGCAAACACCAAAGCAAACAAGGAGTTCATGAAGGCTTCTGTAGCTCTATCTTGCAAGCATCAATCCAAGCCCTTTTTGCTCCCTCTCTGACATGCTCACAAGATCCACATTCCCGCATTAAACAAACATTGATGATGCTTACAAAAAGAGATAATGTCTTCCCGGTGTGTGTGTGTGTCTCTTAAAAGAGAGAAAAACATCCAAAACACTAGACTTAGACAGCAAACTCCAAATGTATTGGAAGAATCTCAAAGCAGTGGCAGGCAGTGAGCGCAAACTATGTATTCGCAAGAAGGACAGCGACAAGCAACACAATCAAAGGACTTGGTTTCTCAACCAACCCCTTCTTTAGTGCAGTCGGATCACACCTCCAACAGGTCGTCTGCTGCATGGCGCGCAGCATTGTGAACCTTGCACTCCATTTGGGTTGTGGTGCTTGGGAAAGCCGGAAAGAGTATGAGAGAGTTACCATGCCCTGAGTCCTGCCGGGCCTTGAGCAGTTTCCATTGGGCTGTTGGACTGTACCTGTATCTTACCACCTTGCCTTGACTGCAAACCATTGAATTGGCCTGTCCTCTTGCAAAGACATCCATGAATTTCAGGCAAGTGGAGTGCCCAAAAAATGGACAGTCCCCCATTGAAAGTTTGCTGCAGGGCGAGCGTGCCCACTAGACCGGTAGTATTGCAACACCAAAAACGTTGCGACTCAAGTTTTCCACACAGCATTCTCCAAAACCAACTTTTTGGATGAAATTACCTGTGCCTCTCGGAGAGCTTCACGCAGCCGGAGTGGCGGGCGGGTATCCTGGCTGCTCAGCTAGTATTTCTTGGGTTGTCAGAATCTACAGAGGCCACACACTTGGAACATCAACACCTGGGCCCTTTTCAGTATGTTGACCCTGCGGGAAAAAAAGACAAAAGAATTTATTGCTTCTTTGGTATGTCTCGGTGTGTGGTCTTGGTAGTCAGCTTTCTTGGTATATTTTTTCCATCTGCCAATTGCTCTTGTAGGAGTTTGATTCATGTCACTGGGCCCGCTAGTCCGACAGTGAACAACACAAAGATTGAATAAGTTTGATAGGGAAATTTACCATTTACAAATGCAGCTTGCTAAACCCCCGACCTACCTTTCTTCTATACGGGCGCACAATTGCCGTTGAACTAGAGTTTTGCAGGGAGCCCTGTGGAACAAAGTGACACCTGAACTCTGACAAGGCCAGATGCTGCCGCGCCTTTCTGTCAGGAACCCTGGTGGTTGACTAGAAGGCAGTGCGGTGTTGCGTGAACTAAGATTAAGCATTAATGGGGATCGTGCAGTACCCTCTTTTGTTGTGTTTTCTTTAAGTTGGCTGCGTGTCGGTCCTAAGCCGAAGCTCCACTAGTTACAAAATGAGGAGTTGGGTGACTGTCATCTTTTGCGGGAATGGCTTTCCAAAGGATGACCTTCGATCTGCGCCACGCATACAAAGTCTGTGTGCGGCCGGCGCTTGCCATATCACCAGATCATTCAAGGCAAAATACCAATCTGAAATCTGAAGCATGTCCTCAAGCCAGCTTGCACGGCTGAGACAAGACATTTCAGGAGGTCGTTGGTAATTTATTCATCAGAATCCATGAAAAACTGACTTTGACAAGATCCATCGTTGATGAACCCCACTTTTGTTATGGCCAGTTCGCTTTTCGCACCCAAAGGCCCCTCAGCAGGCTCATGGAATGTGACAGCTTTTGCGCCCATGGTCTACGGCAGAAGTTATATAAAGGTAGAACAACGAGCTTGCGCGACTGAGAACGTGCGTTGAGCGTGTGTGAGCCTGGTTTTCCATGTTTGCCCTTTTCAAGTCTCAAGCGATCGCCATCTCCTGTGGTACACGTCGAATGTTCTGAGTTACTCCAAAGCTTGGTAGCACTATTGCAAGCACAACCTGTGCAGACAGCGCGACAACTCCTTTGTTAAACCAGTAAGCCTTTCAAGGCCTGCTTTGCTTTCCGTTGGGCTACGACTTACACCAGAATCTGGCTGGTTAGACTGCTGTAGGAAACAGCCCCCAAAAGACTTGAATAGCGCTGTTTGGTGTTCATTGGGCAGATTGGCTTGAAGGACCTATATAACTGTTCGCCGTGACACATTACCGTGGAATCACTTGAATCCCGTTTGGCGCAGTGTGTAGATACTGGTTGTACTGAATATACTAAGTATAGTTGAAAATAGACGGCGCATGCAAAATTATAAGGTTGCACATTTTGGCAAATTAAACACCTCCACATCAGAAGGCGCAAAGCGATGCAAAAGAAGGCCTGGCTCCAGCTCTGAAATGGTGCGCACTGCAAGTGCAAGTGTCAGAAGATGGCATGGGGACTGTGGGATGGAGGTGGGAAGACAGAGCAAGGTAGAGGAGAGAAAATGGGTGGGGAAAAGCCTTAAAAACCGTTAACAGTATGTAGTATAAGGCACATCATCTCCGAATTCAGAGTTTCTTTGTTTTGGTAGTTGCAGCTGTCTCATTCTTTTTGCATTGCTGCAGTTGCAACACATACATATATATATATATATGTCCTGTAATATATTGCAGCAGTAGTAATGTGTCTATAGGTGTCCCATCATTGCACTTTGCATTTTTCATCCCCATTGGTGTCCACTGGTCACTGGACTTCAAATTTTCCCACAGACTCCAGCCAAAGGCAACCCAGCAAAATCCCTTTCCCCATCTACCGGCCCCTCGGTCTCCATTGCTTTCATCAAGCCTGTTTACAGTATTTTTCGCCAGCTACTTGTGATTTTTTCGTATGTTTCCCATTCATATTTGATAGATTTCCCGGCAAAAATTTCTTGTAGAACAAGAAAACAAGTGTGCTTTCCTCAACCCATGTCCATTCCAGATTTTCATAAAGCGCAGCACAGCCGGCACCCTGTACCTGGCGTCAGGCACGAAAGCGCAATAAAGTTTTTGGAATGTTTGAGGCCGAAAAAATATCTGAAAGATTTTGACAATTAACGCTTTTGCAGCCTGAGAAGGACTCCTGTCAACCCTTCCAATGATTCCCCTGACATGGCCGGCGGCCAAGCGCCCATGGTCTGCTAAACAAACGCGGACTGCATGGAAGCGTTCAAAGAGAATCGATCTTCTCACACGGTTTGGACTTGAAACCGGCTCATCAAAACGCAAGCCTGCCAGGTCATGAGAGGATCATGGAAGCCTTGATCTCGAAGGTATTGTTCAGCAGCGCAGATGGACAAAGTGGTGGACGAAGCATGTGCCATCATGCAGTAAGCAATCCAGGAGAAAGATCAGGCATTGACATTTACTTGGACTAGACAGCATCGGTGCAAATACAACGTTTACATTTTTTCAGAGAATACCTCATGCACCTAGCCTGCCAATCCGAAACCTGCATGCCTGGCTCAAATCAATATCTACGTGCGCAAGGGACATTGGACTGCTCAGTATGTGTGTATATACATAAATATATATATATATATATTCCACACATGGCAGCTTCAGGTATCGTTGACCCGAGCAGGACTTTCGGCGCGAGCGATCAGAAAAGCCCGAGCGTTCCCTTCAGGAGAAGGAGTTCATTCCGTGGACTCCGTTTCTTCTCAGGAGACACCGAAGATGGTCGAGAACACAAGCGTTGGAAGCAGCCTCCTTAGACAAGTTGACTGAAGCAAAGGCATACATCTACACCGTTGACTGAAGCAAGGCATACATCTACACCTCTCTGGAAAAGCGCTGGAAGATGTGGAACACCTTGATCCTGAATCCTACCAAAAGAAAGGTGGGATGATGTCAGTTGGCAACTGTTGGACAAGCGATCAGGGATTCTGACAAGGGTATTTAGCCTCAAATCCTCTTGTTGATGATCCGTGTCTGTTCACCTTAAGGGACCCGCAAAGTCTTTGTGGAGTGATGGGTGTTCATGTTGATGACAAGAATCTATATATCAAAAAACTGCGGGGCCGTTTCCCGTATGGAAAGTGGCGTGCTCGTAGTGGTGAGTTCTGCGGTGATTGGTATGACCAAAAACCAGATAAATCAATAGTCACGTCCATGAGTGTTTTTGCTGATCGAATCCCGCGACTAAACGTGCCAAAGAACAGCGCGTCGCATCACCCACTGTCTCCTGGCCAAATCAAGGTATTGAGGGCTGTGAACGGAAGTTTGAAGCGGAGGCCTGATCTGAGTGCCCAAACAAGCCGCTCACAGCAATCATTTCCACAGCTGTCGATTGAGGATTGTCGCATGGCCAACCAAGCCATAAAACGTGCTTGTCAACATCGGAACTTGGGCATCACATTCAAGCAAGACTTGTCCAATGTGTGCCATAGCGATGCAGCTTTTGCTAACAGAGAGGCCATCATGCCCAAGCAGGTTGCATCCTTGGCTTCACACGTAAGAACTTGCAGCGGAAGAGAAGCGCCTTGGGCTCCGCTTGCTTGGCAAAGTTACCGTCTTTGGAGAGCGGTAGATAGCATGGTGGGCGCTGAGAGCCAGGCAACGTCAGTCCCGACAGGAACGATCGAATGGGTTCTGTTTCTTTTGGCTGAAATCTGTGATGGAGCACGGCAGATTTGAGCTTGCAGGGACGCCCCAAAAAAGGAGACCTCCGATCATCGTGACTGACTGTATGAGATTGTATGACCGTTTGTCTTCTCCATCATCACCAACGTCAACGAGCATTGAGGCATTGATGTTGTCACCGTTGGGGAAAACTGCTCTCATTCGATGTGCCCCTACCAATCGAATGCTCGCCAACGGTTTAACCGAAGACTCAGACCCTATCGACCTTCTCCGTGCCTGCATCAAAGGAGCCTCCAACCAAATCTTCCATGAAGAAACTTCCGGAGCGAAGCCCAACATGTTCGATATTCGCCGCAGCCCTTTTGCCAAGACCGTCTTGGTGACTGGTCTCCCAAGTTGCCGAGCAAGTGTGGAGAAGTCAGCGTTTGTCACCGGCTGTTGTGGAGCTCCTGCATCGAGTCAAAGATGAGGATTCATTCGCATCCCTCACGCAAGAACTGGATCGAGGAGGACACTCCAACTCATCAGACGCCGGTTGTTCGCGCAACAAAAATAACATGCGCCGACTCTCTGTAGTGGGAGAACGGTCGTTCTGCACGGCGCGTGTGTACGGGCCCGCGGGCTCCAATTTCACGGGCCCGCAGGTCAGTGGGAGCCTCAAGCTTAGGGCAGGGCGCTTCCCTCTTCAAAGTGTTGGTTGAAGATGCAGTGCCTGATGTCTATGGCTGGTGAGTCTTGGTGACGCCGTGCAGAGATGTCTTTGTCCGTGTGCGCTTTGGAGGCTGGGCGCTGGTGCCGCTGGAGGTCAGCTTGCCATACTCCTCGCGCGTGGGTTGGGAGTTGGGGAACTTTCACTGGCTTTGGCCGGGCGCAACTCGTCTGCTACGTTTTGACCGTATCATGGCAACATAATGAGCTTGATTTAAAATGTTAACTGCAGCGCTTCGATCCCATACTTGGACAAAACAATTGCAAGTCAGTCCAAACTATATGGACTTGTTATTGCAACCAGGTCTTCTACTGTTTGGAACCGAGTCTTTGCAAACCAAGCGGGGCCGCAGCAGGACAATGCTCAAAACGAGGAATGTGCCATGTGCATGGAACATTCACGCCCTATTCCAGGTTGGAATCGGTATGGAATCGGTCATGGAAAATGTTGAACTTTGAAAGCCACAGGACCATTTGGCGGGATATCTCTTCTGATGAAGAGTCATCTGTGGAGGACAAACTGTGTCATATTGAAACACTTGAATATTGAAGCGGGATGGCACCTCACCCTGCTTACGTAATCTAAAATCTATGGTTCAGGAAGTCATTTTGACGGACTCGCGGGCAGACTCTACGGGCTTGCGGGCTTACGGGCCCGCGGGGCGCCGCGGGGAACAACCATGGCCGCTACTGGGTGAAGAGCATGGGCCGCACTTTGGTGACTGCAGGAAAATTGGACAAAGAAGACCTTTCCTACAGTGAACTGGAATCATCAAGTGAGACATCCACGGTCAAGCACGTCCAATGGATGATCAATCAGAGTGGCCGCAGTGGTCATGGCAAGCTGTTTCGTTGCCTATGCCTGTGCGAAGGAGTCCGATGGTCCATGCATTCCCGGATCAGTGTGACTCGAAAATACAAGGCATGAGTGACAGCTGCTGATGAGATGGCTACAAGCGAAAACAGTCAGCTGAAAGCAAGCAACATTAGAATGCTATGAGCCTGCCGGAAAGGCAGTTCGATCCAGCATGCTTTGGAATGTTAAAAAGACTTTTACCAGTCTTGATTCCACACATGGCAGCTTCAGGTATCGTTGACCCGACAGGGACTTTCGGCGCGAGCGATAGGAAAGCCCGAGCGTTCCCTTCAGGAGAAGGGGATTCATTCTGCTATATATATATACTCTTTTGACAGTCGCTGTAGGCGTTATTCACCAGAAGCAGCACCCAAGAATGCATAATGATGGTTTCTCTACTCAATCACTCAATCGACTCAATCACAAAGCACGCACGAAACTTAGCTATATAGGTACATTAAAGGGCAAAAAATAGCGCGCAAAATGTATAAGTGCAATTTTTTCCTGCCGGTGGAGTAAAGCGGATCTTTTCGACCTACTGATGAAGTGACATGCTAATTTCTACGGGTGGTCCAATGAGAAGTTACTGCAGCTGGTAGAAGTGGACACTTCTACTGATGGTCCAGGCAAATGACAATGCTAGGTGAAAAAATTGCTAGTGATGCGTTTGTTTATAACAGCTACTAGCTACTGGTAGTGTATGTTTCAAGCGCTGATGATAGTATGGTAGCAGGCTTGAGTAGGGGCCTTGAGTGGTCGAGTGGATGTTCCAACCGTTGGTGAGGCTATGCTCTGCGAGTGAGGTCCATGGTATCAACGATGATGCATGCCTACGAGCTAGCATGATGTTAGGTTCTCATCCTTTTGAGGTTGTACGATCTGACTGCTAATGACGTGTTATATGGGTACCTTCACCAGTACCAGCGTGTTTTGCCCACTTCAATGGAGGGGCAAATTTTCAAGCCGCGCCAGCGGGCGTAGGGTGGGGGCATAACATGGGAACATCAGCAATTGGGACCCTGGATACATCCCTGCCAAACAAACCTGCCTTTCCTTTTGCATCTCTGAGAACGAGGCTGCGTTCCAAAGGATTCAGCTTGACGGTGAATCGTACTTTCCAGCAGATATGCAGTGCAGTGCTAAAGATGCTGAAAAAGCTTCGGATGCCATTTCAGGTAACAAGTTGACAAATAACCTGGTGACCATGCCACGACAAAGCTATTTGTCTGACAATGCTCCTAGATCTCCTACAAAAGTTATAATAGCTATTGTTCCTTTTGAAGGTGATGATGTCTCCTCCAGCTTGAGATCCAGCAACTTAATGCGGCAGCGACTAAGCACCTGAGCAAATCCTGTACCCGCAACTTGTATGTCTGAAGGTGGAAAAAAGAAAAGAACTGCCCTAGGCATCAACATGTGTGTTTTGTTGGTTCAAGAGATACTCAATGCTTCTAAAAAGGCATAGGTATGCAGGCATGGCATAGGTTGCCCGACTGTCGTGCCTCTTCAAATGCGGAGGCATGGGCCCAATTGCTGCGAGTGAAGGGACGAGCATCCTGGAATTTGGCACAGCGTCGAAAGAGATGTGAAAGTCCGTAGAGTTCTCACTGTCCACCCTTATATACTTTGATGGACCCAGAGTGCAGGCTACTTTTCTTGAGGCTTCTAAAGTTACCTTTAAAGCATGAAGCATGTGCACAATTCAAGTTGTTTGTAGGCTCGTGCCAATGAAAAGTCGTGCCAAAATTCTGGTCTGGCAGACTTGGCGCACACCAGGCACTGAACTAAACAGGCCTCTTCTCAGTACCAACTTCAAACCCCATCCATTTCCGACTCTTGTCCTCGATGTTCAGAAGAAACTCTGTCCACCAGTTTAACGCCTGGGCGAACTTGGCCTCACCCACTTGGCTACATGTTTACATGTGTCCTGTGAGAAGAAGTATTGTGCAATTCAGTAATAATGCTTTGTAATCTCCTTGCGAGATTGAACGTATGCCGCATACCCATTGTGCATGTACCAGGTCAGCGATTGAAATTCTCACATGCTCTTGTCTGTTTACCATCTTGCATTGAAGTGGATCAAAAGAGAAATATTGCTGCCTTCCCCAATTGCATAGGATTATGCCTTCCTAACCTGGTTATATAAACCGTGTTGGCAAAGATCTAGAACGAACAGTGAATGTCTTTCTCGTTATTGTCACAGGCAAGTACACTGAGTTGCTCTTAGTTTGAAGTTATTTATGTTCTATGAGGTGCATAACAAAAGCCGGGGTGACAGGCTTCAAATTGATGTTAATGTGGGTTTGTGGGTTGGCCAGACCCTCAACAACCTGATCTAATCCAACAAGCAAAAACGGGAAAACCAGGTGTGGCCACAGCAAAAGCAAGCAGTGCAAATGCGAGATGTCTTTTCTCGCGAGCAGTGCGGTCATCCGGATGCCTACTTGGTGGTTCGTTTTTGGCTAGGGAACTTGTAAGTATCTTGTAA